TCCGCTCTGAAAGAACAAAAGAAGATGAATTTAACAGGTAAGATTGAAATAGTGAAGACATTTATATGAATACTAATTGTGGTGGCACCTTGCATCAGATATCTGTTTAGGTATTCGTCGTTTCAACCACGGAAACCGGAAATCTCGTCTCTGTCCGTTCTCAGTTTTAAGATCATCGACTGATTTGATCTCTGAAGTTCCATGATCTGTTTCAGAATTGGAAAGGCATGTGGCTGACTCAGAGGCTCTTAGAAAAGATGCAGCACTCCTGCAACAGGCAAAAAAAATCCTTCAGAACTGCTTAATTCTGATGCAATTAGGAGGACAAGTTTACTGATCATGAAAATGAAATATAAGACCTGTTTACAATTGCAGAGCACATGAAAGATTGCAAATAATGCAATGCTTTGTTAACAGTAAAACTTTATTTAACCATTCTAAAACCTCACCAAGGGACAAGACTGATTAATTTGCTAAACAGTTGATAAGTTCTATTTCAATGAAAATTTTTGGTTCAAGTTAAGAAAAGCATACATCACTATTTAAACACTTAACATCAATGAATGAAACTGATATCTGGTTTACCTTCTCTCAAATGAATCAACCATATAAGGAAATTTTGGTTGAATGCCAGTGGCTTTTCTTAACCACCTATTGCCCAGGAGCACTTTGTCAACAGCATAGAGAAGTTGAATCTCAGCAGCCTTCGAGATGACACTCAGAGGTATGACAGGATGACCAACTTCATCCATAACTTCTTGAACCTGGGAGTTAAGGACAACACAGTCAAACAAAATACAACCCCACTATTACTGTTAAAAGAAAATAATGGACTAGGTGGATCCAACATTGTCTCCTATTTCTCTTGAAGGCCTATGTTGGTTATCCTAACGGTATACTAATAAGCAGTGGATTCTTTGACCTCCGTACAACTGAGTATACAAAATAGATAAGAATCCCACCTGATACAGGCAAATACTACTCCTAATAAAGCAAAAACTACATTTATTTCTCACAAGGCTCCAGAATTTGAAAATAGGGTAAAATTTGACTGAAAAGTGATAACAGTTTAACATTTCAATATTCGACCTATCTCACAAAACACAATGTCTCTAAAATCAATTACACGGAGAATATTTCATGATGAAAATCTTAGGACTAGGAAACCGGTACCTCTGGAGGCTCCCACATGCCATCTCTAATTTCTTCAATCACTTCAGCTGCCAAACTATCATCAATTACGTCCCGTCGGCGTTGCATATGGCGAGTTTGAATTAAAGCATCAAAGTGCTGATCAACAGACTCTTCAAGAATATTATCCAGCATGTTTTTATCAAAGAAGTAAGGAGTATACCTGAAGAAAGGAACAGTGAGCTACACAAGCATCAAACAGACAAACAAAATTTGAAGAAATTGCAGAGGGAACTCTGTGCAATAAAAATAGAAAACTTTTTCAATTTACACAATAATTTGAAGAACACACCATTTAATCCCATCTGTAGTAGCTATTGCAATATCCAAGTTTTGAGCACCAAAAACAGGAACCCCATCAACCTTTCTCCTTTCACCATTTTGTGGGATTGTCTTAAGAAGCTTGTTAGCTGCCTTTACCTGAGAGAGCAGAAAATGTCAATGTATAATCAAGGCCTAATTTGTTGAGGAGAATAAAAACACTTCCATATAGTAAATGCTAACAATAAGTTCATACCTGTTTCTCATTAGGAACAAACTGAAATAAGTGAGGCTTTTCCTGCACAAGAATATCATGATAATATTAAAATTAGATTTTGGAACAACACCAGAAACATAAAGCCAATAATATGACCATCAAGCACAATATGCAAAATCATATATTATACGAAAAGACATGTAAAATCATACATTATAACAATCCACTCGACCAAAGCAATCCAATTCTTCAGGATGACTACGTAAATTATGTTCCCTATTGTGCACTATACTAAGGGTAAAACCTTCATCAATTTTCCACAAGATTATTCATTCACCAGGACATTCTTATTTCACATTTTACATGTAGCAAACGTTTAAACATTAGATGGTACAACAAGGAACAAAATGAGAAACCAGAAGAAAAATGGTTCTTGCTTACATTAAGATGTTGTAGAGAATGCTAAAAAAATACCATATTATATTATTCAATGGCATCCATATTCATCTCATTTTTACCTCCCCCCCTCCAACTGTAAATGATACCCTTACAGTTAAAGTACTTAATAATCAAGCAACATTTTGCATTCCATTTACATGAAGATGCTTCAATTGAATCGGTTTAACTTTACCTTGAAATGTTCATAAGCCAAATCAAGACGACAAGCACCCACGACTCCACTAGGAATATTAAGGTGTTTGACATAATTAACTAAGGAAAAAAAGGTCTTGTTAGATTGCAATTATTTTTACTTCTTCCAACCAAAAGAAGCTTGGCTAAACTGATTAACAAAAGCTAAGATGAAAGCAAAAAACATACCTGCATCACCTAAATCCATGAAAAAACGAAAAACAGGGCCATTCCTTTCGCTCTTTGTAATGTTTGCAAATATCTTCTTAAGCCACTGCGGAGTTCTATACATCAATATAGACGAAAGACATCAAATTATACGAAAGAAAACCAATCTTTTATAAGTTTTTGCACTACTAAAAAAAATAAAACACCGTATATTTACATATTAACATCCAATTTTTTTACATATTTTTTTTCAAATCCTATCCATTTCAAAACGAAGATTGAATTTACAAAAAGAAAAAAGAAAGTAAGAAAGATAGACGAATTAAGGTAAAGAATAAAGACCTCTTAGAAATGAAGGGAATATCGAAATGAGTTGAAACAGCCATAAGACCAGTGCCGGAGAGATCGCACATGCTAAAAACTTGGCCAACGAAGGCGGGGCCACCACGTTTTCCATTGGAAGTTACTCCCGAAACCCTGACTTTTGATGAGAAGCCGGGGCTGGACTCTGCCGAAGACACGCCCTTGATTGTGGATTTGGAAGAAACGGAGTCATGTTGAGTTGACTCGAAGGGCAAGGGAGTGATGTGGAGAGGAGAGTCGGCGAATAGAAAAGGAGGAACGGAAATTTTGGAAGGCGGAAGGTACGGTGTCGTTTTGGGATTGGGCATGACAGAGAAGATAGAGGCAGCAGTTGTGTTGAGGAATTTGGTGAGGCTGCGGTGGAGTTGGTGGTGCGGTGGCTCCGCCGGTGAGACCATCGTTTTGGTTTTGGCTGCCTTTTCTATTCGTCGATTGGGTCGATAATATCGTTCAAACGGAGATAAAATAGAGCTCCTACTCGACCTTGTTAGAGTGGAATGATATAGCGAGAATTTTCTTTTCTTTTTGGGAAAACCACGTAAATGGTCATTAATGTTTGGAAGTCTTCATTTTTTTACTAAGTTTCAATACTAACGATTTAGATCACTAATGGTATCAATTTATAACAAATCGATCCCTAAACGTTAATAGTCATTAACGTGGGTGACAGAAACTTATGTGACCTATTAATCATTTATCTGACAATATCAACCGTTATGTTGGAGAGTTAGTTAGATTTTCTATTGACCAATCACCTCTTCAACTTCAGTTTTCAGTTTAGCATGAAAAAAGAAGCCTGGGAACGTCAACCACCAAGTTGTGTTCTTAGTCCGGGTCGTGCAAGGAACCTTTTTGTCATTGTTTACCATTATATTGAAGAGCAACTATAGCATTAAAGGCACACTGATTTTACCTATGTTCCCAAAAAACGATAAGAAACGAGGTTGTACTTCTGAGAACTCGGAGCCATCTTCCTCTAAGGTTACTTGCATAGGTCAAGTTAGGGTCAATACAAAAAATAAATAAAGAGTGTTTTTCTTGCATCGCAGGTCTTATTGCATGGGTAACCAAAGGGACAGAGAACGGAAAGTAAGAGGGCCCGGTGGGGCTGTTTGTGCGTGGTGGGTGGTGGCAGTGCAAGAAGGGGAAGGGGAAGGGAAAGGGAGGGACATTATATACTTATTTATTAACATTTAGATTAAAATAAACAATTAAACTTTTTGTTGATACAATAATTAAATTATTTAAATCATTTTAAACTTTTAAAGTGAAAGATAATGTACTTAAATGTGTTTGGATCAAAATTCCTTCAAATGTTATAATAATAGTTTAATTGATCGAGTGATCAAGAATGTTCATACTATCTTTTCTTATAAGTACGAATCTCGTCATTTGTCTTAAAAATATAATATCTCTCTACTTAATCCCAAAAAAAAATTAATGGAAAAGTACGAGGATTAAATCTTGATTTTATCGTAATAATACTCGATCTTACTGCTATATTCCCTTATATCCCATTAAGGGCATTACCAGTTGAATTGGTGGGCAAATGCTTTAGCATTTGTGTACTACAATAAAATCGTGGGCATCACCACCCTTTCCCATGGCTAAGGCATCAAAGACCTAAGTAGTGACAAAACGGTAGCAAGTCATGCAACACAACACCGATGCATTATACCAAGAACTCGCCGTGCCGGAACTAGACATATAGTGGAGCACGGCACAAGTTATGATCACCAGAACTTGCTGTGCTGGAACTAGACATATAGTGGAGCATGGCACAAGTTATGATCACCACCGATTACACAACTCATGACTGACACCTATCCAAGGCATTATAAATATACATTCCATGGAGTGTAAAGGGCAGGTACACTTCACTAAAAGCCATATCAGCATCCTAAAAGCTACCGGAATCACCACCAGAACAACCTCTTTACCACCTTCTATGGTTGTGATCACTTTATCAGTCAACAAAATTTATTAAATTCTTAAAGCGAAAGGCTCAACTAAACTCTCACCCTCCAAATAAATTTATGTATCAAGGAAACTAAAGACCCGATCAGCAATAATCTTTACACTTCAATTTGATGTTAGAAAAAATGCCGTCCATATCAACCATAAATATCCAGCAAGAAAGCAATGTCACAATTCACAACTATGTTATATGTATCTCGAATTCAATCATCAACTTCATTAAATAATTTTTACTTCTGTATGAGTAAAAGGAAGAAAGAATTCTTACCACCCTACAGCTTTCTTATGCTTACATGATGCCCTGACCATACCTAGCCTGATTCGGATAGTGCTGATACAAAATAATAAGACATGAGAAAAGACTGTTCATCCTTGTCATATAGCTTTCCTTAACTTGCTGCTGAGATTGAATAAATTGCACTTAACTATCAAGGCCAAGGCTTACTGGATATAAGACTATCAACCAATCAAGAAGTTATATATTAGCTTCCGCAGTGAATGTATTTGAACTTGCTTCAGCTTCCTCATGCTTTAAAATAGAATTCTTTTCAGTTTCCTTGTCCTCAGTAACGCCTATGGCAACTTTATCGAATTCCTGGAGCCGCTTTACTTCATTTGAACTTGCTTCCGCAAGCTCTAAACTCAAATTCTTTCTAGTTTCATTGTCTTCAGTTAGACCTTTCGCAATTTTATCATGTTCTTGTAGCTGCTTTACTCCATTTGAATTTGCTTCCAATTCCTTGTACTCTAAACTCGAATTCTCTTCAGTTTCTCTGTCTTCAGTGATGCCTTTGGCAGTTTTATCAAATTCCTGTAGCTGCTTCACTTGGATTCTGACACGCTTCCCTTTAACGTATCGATATTCCCATTTTGGTGGTGGATATTTCTTCTTTAATTTGTCATACTTATCAAACATGCCCAACTTTTGGAAGACATTTCCAACCATTGAAACAACTGATATACTTGGTTTGACACCAAGCTCTTCCATGTCAGCAAATGCCTGTAAAAGTATCGTGTGGGTTACACTAGTAAGCGCAGTGAAGCTTAGAACATCCATCACTCACTCATAAGGTCATAACATTATTTAAAATCTTAACTGTTTGTTTGATGCTTTTTCTTTTTGTTCTTTCCAATAGAAAGTCGAAGCAAAAAAATAAAAAAGAACGAACATCAAAATACAAATAGCATAAAGTAGAATCACCAACCAAATGGAGCATAAACTAATTCAGAAATTAGAAATGTATAATTAGCTAGCACCAAAAGCCAAACTGATGATCATTTTTTATCAATAGAAGATTTAAAACACAAGGAAATGAAGACTGCCATGTATCATATTGACAAAGAAAAGCACCAAAACAGGATGGTGACAGATTTGAAGTTACTGGTGCACAGGAGTTCCCACCCTAAGGTGTTCCAATACCTCATTATTTTCATTTTTCACTACCCATCTCAACTCTACTACATGGAGTTTTAATTAAGGGAATATAAAACCAGACTTGGGTTCAGAATTTAATGCAGTAAATTGCTTAGGAGAAACCAATGGAAGATAGAAGAAACGCCCAATCTAGACATTCAAATTATGATAAAGCACATCATTGTAATAAGAGTCTTGAATGAGATGACAATACAATACCTCAAACATCTTCTCGTGCATGTCCTTGTGGTAATAAATTGAAATCATTTTATCAAAGAAAATACGCGGGGTGCTATCTAAATTATCAGAAAACAGTTTGGCCCACAGCTCTTCAGCCTCTTCCAGTCTCCCGTCCTCTGCTAAAGCATTCAGTAAGGTGAAATATGTTCCCATCGTTCTTCCTTGACCTTTGCTAAGCATCCACTTTATCACCTGCAAGTGCAATTCCCTAGACTTAGCTCTTTTAAATGTAGAAAGCCGAAAACAAAGATAAAATTAAAGAGGAATTAAAAAACAAACTGAAATGACAGATAGTTACCTGAATTATTCTTTTCCACTCTTGTTCGTTCTGAAGGATCTTCAATGCTTTCTTCACTATAATTAGAGGGAACTCTAGTTCCCATGCAATAAAGGAGTCGAGAGCCCCGTATACTTCTTCCTTGACATTTGACAATTGCTTTACCTAAATAAGAACGGCCAATAATAGATTACTACTATCTCAAGATTGCTATATCAAATTTACATTGATTATTACACACGAGTTTACTCTACCACGAAAACTCAGCTTAACTCAATCAATCCAGAATCAGCTACCAACTAGGATATCTGTTTTGCTAATATTTGACCTGTAAAAGTTAAGGTAGTAAAAGCAAAAAACTCACACAATCAACAAGCTTTACTGATTTTGAGACAGCCCCAATTTTCTTCCTTGATTTCCATACCCGAGGATATCGAGGTCTTGGACCTTTAGCAGCGCATACCTAAAAATCATTAAATTTTAAAAAATTTCACAGTTCATACATCTTTCATATAACACTGAAGGTTCAATTGAAAACATACCACGGTACTCCTAGGTCTCTGGGTTAATTTAACTGATTCCAATCTTTTAGTAATAAGTGGCAGAGCATATCTACAACAAAGCATCCTGGTATAATGCAAAACCAGAAAGAAAATGAACAAATGCTGATTAATTATGATAGCATTAGTTACCGTTAACAAAGCAATTTTCTTGTTTCAAAAAAGCTAAAAAAAAGTTATTCCAGCCTTTTCTCAGCAACCAAACACAGTTAATTCTAAGAGACGGAAACTGGAAGAGGCTTACCGGCTTGAGAGTTTTAGGGTTTACGCGACAGCAGATTTCAATGTTGAAGTCCCGGGAGACGGATTCAATGCCGATGATATAGAAGATATTTTCCCACCTTGTTCCGATTTTTTTTCCTTTTTCTTCTGATTTTCTACTTATCCAAACAACGTGTCATTTAAGTTCAACGTGTCATTAAAGTTCAAAGCTTATTTGTCCTTTCGGCAAAATTAGAGCAATAATGGTCTTGAAAATAAAATTTAAGAAATGGGATTCGACAGGCGTTTTCATCCGAATTTGGTTTTAATATAATTATATTATTATATTATAATTACATTATTATTATATTATATTATTATAACTAATTATTATAATTTTATTACAGGCCCAAATGAAAAATAACTACAACCCGAAGGCCAGTTACAACCAAGACCCAACAGATATTGACCCGAACAGCCCAGAATCGTCCAGGCTCAACAATCCCAACAGGCCCAAGGAACAAACCCCAAATGCTATTAGGGTTTTCACACAAGGTTCAAACATCGCATGGATCCTAGCCATCCGATCCAGAGACAGATCTAACGGTCACCAATGCAACCAGCAAAACCCTAGGGTACTCATTGTAACCCTAGGGCTATTCCGGCGCCGCCATAGTGGTATGATACCTCCGCCGCCGAACGCTCCAACCAGTGCATGCCACGATGTTGCCATATCCTCTCCAGATCGAAGCAATCTGAGTACATTAAATGCACTCAGCCTCTCTACCGCACAACTCACCACTCCTAGGGTGAGTCACCACCGTAGCTCCAGTGACTCACCGGGGTACAGCCTTTTAACCAGTCCAAAGGGAGCCTCGAAAACCCCTATAAATAGGGTGACCTGCAAACGAACAAGAGAAGACAAGGCAAGGCAAACACAACAAGTACCCAGTACACAAAATTAGCAAGAAAAGAGAAGAGAGTGAAGGAAGCGAAGCCTTACCATCATCGGAGCACCTACGCGCCTCCACGCGCCACCGGAGAAGACGAAACGCCGAAGGTATAAACCTTAGATCTACTTTGATTGAATGTTATTTAGGGTAAATGGATTTTGATTTAGGCTTTAGGGAGAAAAGAGGAATTTTTTTGGGTATTATATGTTTTTCGGCCACCGTGGGTGGTGCCCGGCGGCGGCTGTTATCGGCGGTGCATGATTGTCGATTGATGACCGATCTTCCTCAGGCGAGGAAACTATAGAGAACCGAGAGATATCTCTCGGTTAGAGAGAGAGAGAGGAGAGGAAAATGAGGCTTAAGGTCTCATTAGGCCTAATAAGAGCCTATATATATCCCTCAACGAATGACGTCGTTTTGGGGAGGGACCTACTCGTAAATCCGGGTATGGGTAAATTACACTCGTTGTCCTTGTAACTGATCATTTTAGTCATTAAAAAGTATATTTTATACATTTTAGTTTTATCCTTTAATTTTATTTAATTTCATTTTAGTCTGTGACTATATATATATGCATTCCAGGTAAAATTATGTATTTAGTCCTTTAAATTTTAATTATTTATATTTATGTCTCGTATTAGTAATTTAGGGTAAATTACATAATTAGTACATTAGTTTAATATTATTTCGAATTAGATTGATTAATTTTACCATTATATATTTTAATCACTATTTATTATATTAATTATGATATTAATATATTAACTTAATTTTACAATATGTTATTATAATATAATATTATAGGACTAGTAAATATTATTTAGTATTTATTTATATTAAATTATTTTTAAATTAAGAACAAATTTATAATTTACTGCAAATACCCTAATTAATAAATACCAGTACCAATTTTGGGCGTTATGGGGGTGTTAATCCTTCCCCATACGTAACCGACTCCCGAACTCATTTTTATGGTAAGCAGACTCGAGTTGTATTATTTTAATATTATTCTTAGGAATTTTATTAAAATAATATGACATTTTGGTGACCAATCTCACCAAATTAAAAATTGGTGGCGACTCTACAACTTGGTGTTTCATCTGATTCAAGGAGGATAAACACTTACTTTTTCGAGACTAGTTACACTCTTTGAAGTGTACTATTTGCACTCTCTGTCGCCGGGCAGAGAAACGTCTCGATAGCTTGGCGACTCCGCTAGGGATAATGTGAAGAGTCCAGCCACCAATTTATTAATTAATTGTCTTTACAGTAAATAATAAACTTGTTTTAAGTTTGTTATAATTATTTTTAATTATCTTACTAACTTTTTGGTTTTATGTATGTACATATTTAATTTTGGGTCTTTAGAATAGAATAATATGTTATACATTATTTCATCCTTTTTATGCTTTTCCTCACCCACTGTGCACTGCATTCATGACATGAGCTAAAACCATGCTCTTATCCTGTTTAAGCGAATGAGAAACTACTCCCTCGTATGGTTTTCACCTCCGTATGGGCATAAGGAAGTGTGTTCCTTCGAATTGAACTTATTCTAAAAGTCTGTAATGGACCAGGATTGAGGGCTTGGCAGTCGAAGGTAGGAGTGTAAACGAGTCGAGTCGAGCTCGAGTATTGCTGAGCTCGACTCGAAAACTCTGAAATGGAGCTCGACTCGACTCGAAAACTCGTGAGCTTAAAACTTTCAAGCTCGACTCGAACTCGAAATCCTGAACTGAAGCTCGTGAGCAGTTCGAAAAGGCTCGAAATGAAAAAAATTATTAAAATTAACTCTATTGAAGCCTCAAACTCAAACTCGAACATGAACCTTAAATACATGAAATCTTATTGTATTTTTAAAAAAAATCAATACATAAATATTAATATTATTAATAATTTATTTTTTAAAAAATAAAATCTTAATATATTATATTTTCGAGCTGCTCACGAGATTTTTGAGTCGAATATCGAGGTTTCAGCTCGAGTCGAGTCTATTCGATCCAAGTATTTATCGAGCCTTGATCAAGTCAATCTCAAGTGGCTCACAATCTATCTCGTCTAATTTACAGCCCTAGTCCAAGGGGATACCAACAAAGGACAATTCGTTGACCCTTTTTACCATAGAGCCAAAACCCAGCATATATTAAACTTAGAACTTGAGTCTAAGCAAAACCTAACCCGATTAAGTATTTTAAGATTAGCACACAAGGAAAAGCATGTTAAGTATGTTATTTTTTTTTGAATAAAAGCATGAAACTAGAAATCATGCGGTTAGGTTTGTTGTTCTAAATAAAGTATGGAACTAGATGACATGAAATTAGGGTTTCTTAATTAATTATTCTTGGTTAATTTTATACTTCATTTTCTTCATTTTGCATTTTTATATCATGGTGTTGATTCGTGACTGATTTCATATAGAAAGTTGGAAATATGAAACAAAGAGTCCAATATGAAGTAGAGGACAATGCAGTTATTTTAAGATGGCATGAGCAGTCTTAACTTATCAAGGGAAATAGTCTATCACCTGGATACGTGTCAGAACTGGTTAGATATACACATATCAATGTTCGCCAGAATAACCTGGGTGAGTTGAAAGAAATCTGGGAAAAGTGGGAAGCAGCTGACAAGCGTCTATTTTATCATATATATGGTAACATTGCTTATCTATTGGATATTCCTATTGACCAACATATGTTGAGAGCTCTATCACAGTTTTGGAACTCTGCCTACAGATGCTTTACCTTTGATAAAGTAGACTTGACACCTACTATAGAAGAATATCGAGCTCTTATTTGCTGTCCAAGATTCTACGAAGACAGAGTATATATCAAATCACCTAATAATGCTCATTTTAAGAAGAAAGTGCTTTTATTGACAGGGATGAGTGAAGAATTTGCTGCAAGAAATATCAAAAAGAAAGGTGATAGTGAATGTACTACTTGGATTACCTTGAAAAAAGTGATATATCGCCATCTAGACAAAAGAAAGCAGATTGATATGTTGGCTTTAGGAGTTTATGGATTAATCATTTTTCTGAAGATTTTGGGGCATGTAGATATATAAATTGTAGACCTGTTTGAAAAATTGAACAAAAATGCATATCTGGTTCCTACTGTGTTATCTTAAACATTTCACTCCTTGAATTCCTGTAGACGCGAATGAGAGGGATGTTTTATAGGCTGTGCACCTCTATTGTTGGTATGGATGCTGAATCATCTTAAGCACGAGGAAAGAGCTCCTAGACGAGTATTCCTAGAAGATTTCTCACATTTGCAAGATTTTCTTTCTCGAAAATGGCCTGGAGGATATGACAAAGAAAAATATATGAACATCTTATGAAATCTCGAAGATAACGACGTATTATGACGAGCCTCATGGAATACTTCTTCAAACATAGTGTATAAGTGTGGAGAGCACGATTAGGTTCCCTTGCCTGGCATATGGGGTTCCATAGGATATACACCTTTGATGGTTTCCAGACAATATGGATCAAGGTACTTTATTCCTGCGACATTAGGTTTATCCGAATCAGAGTTTGCATTGAGAAGTGATCAGTACAAGGAAAAGATCATAAAGGTTGTTGAGGCTTGGAAATGGATTCATAGGGTAAATTTATTTACTTTTAGTCAAAAGCTCTCACCCGAATATAAGCAATGGAGAACCAACCGAATCAAAGACAACATTCTAGTGGTTAATTTCGAGAGTGTTCAACCTATCAAAGAACATTTGAGAATTGTACCATCTCCATTAGAACTGGAAAAACAAGACTTTGAGATTGAAAGAAAACAATGGAGAAAAACTTTGAAAAAGTTGTAAGAGGAAGTATACCACAAAGAAATTGAGATAGACATCCATAAAGGGCGAGCAGATCAAGTCAGTAAAGTTGAAAAACAACTCAGGATGTATTTCAATGATCTTCAGTCATCCTATCAGCAGGTGGTAAAGACTCCAATTACCGAAGGGTTAAGTAAACAAGAGACAACAGGTTTAAAAAGAAAAGCTGAAGAGGAGCTCAAACGAAGTAAACACCATGCCAAGACACTTGCCAAAGAAAAAGAGGCATTAGAACAAAGACTATTGGAAAATCAAGCTCAAAACCAGAAACTAAAAGGCAATATCATAAGGCTGGAAATTGCACTATGAAGTCAAGAAAGTAACTCGGAAGTTAAAAATCTGAGGAACCAAGTGAAT